AATATTGCCAGCGCCTTCCTATCGGCGCACACCTCCTGCGCCCAGATGGGCGCCGCATAGAGGGCTATGGAACTTACGACGTTGGCATATAGCCTCCGTACCCTCCCGCTTGGGCCCCCCAAGTTCGGCATCAGCCTCGACAGCGCGTTCGCAGCTGCTTCCGTCCTGGGGGCCAGCTTCTCCACGTGGTCGCGGAATTTTAATTTCTCGTCCAGGAGGAGCCCCAGGTACTTGATATGGGGCCCCACCCGGACCCGTGTGTCGCCCACCGTTATCCCCGCGTCCGGGGGTGGCCCGTGTTTCCCGCTATGGAGAAACACCGCCTCCGTTTTCTTCGCCGACACCGTCAGGCCCAGGCCTTCGATCTCCCGGATCGTGCAGGCCACCGCCAAGTTTGCGGTGTCGACAGCCTCCTCCCAGCTCTCCCCCTCGGCGAGCACCAGTGTGTCATCGGCATAACACACCGACACCGCTCCCGAGGGGAGAGCCGCCTCCAGCACCACATTGTATGCGATGTCCCACAGGACTGGTCCAAGCACCGAGCCCTGCGGGACACCGCATTCCGCCTCCCATACCCTGGCCTTGTTCTCCCTGTCCCGGCAGGATATCTTCCTGTTAGCCAGGTATCCCTCGATGAGGGCCCTTAGATATCGCGGGACTCCCATCCTCGCCATTGCCCGTCCTATGGTGGCGTGGGGGAGGGAGTTAAATGCGTTCGCGACGTCGAGCGCGACCGCGAGCACCACTCCCCCCCTCTCAGCCACCCCCTGCACGTAGGCCTTGACGAAGGCGATTGCGTCTACCGTCGAGCGGCCTTCGCGGAACCCGTATTGCCGGGCGTGCAGTCCTCCTCCTTCGCCGCCCTCAATGCTCCGGACGAGGCGGGATGTGATGACTCGCTCGAACATCTTCCCCGCCTCGTCCAAGAGGCATATTGGGCGGTAACTCGCCGGCTGGTCCTCCGGCTTACCCGGCTTCGGGATGAGGACCAGGCGTGCCTCCTTCCAGGCCTGTGGGAACCGGCCGCAGCCCAGGCAGTCGTCCATGAGTCTGCGGAGCCTCTCCACAAACTCGCCCACTCCCATGGCGACCTTCCAGGCCACGGCCGGTATGCCGTCTGGCCCGGGCGCCTTGCCGGCCTTCAACCTCCTCGCCGCGCGGCCAAGCTCCATCTCTGTCACTCGGCGGTCCCCCTCCTCCTCTAGGTGTTCCTCTTCCAGGGTCCTCGGCATGATGGCTGCCGAGTCCCTGTTCGCCGGGAAGAGGGTCCGGACGACCTCCCCCAGGAACTGGGGGTCGATCGCCTCAACCGTGGGAGGCGCCCCCGTGCTAAGCTTGTCCATCACAAGCTTGTAGGGGCGCCCCCACGGATCCTCGTTAAGCGTGGCAACCAGCTCCTCCCAAGCCACCTCCTTTGCTCGCCTGGTTGCCACCCTCAGGGCCTTCCTCTCTGCCCGGTACTCCTCCAGTAGCGTCGCGACCTCCTCTTGGGAGGAGCTTCTCCTTCTCCGCGCGCGCTGCAGGTGCCTCCTCGCTCTAATCGCCGCCTGCCTAAGCAAGGCCACCTCCTCCGACCACCAATACGCCTCCTTCCGTGGTGCAAAGGAGGCCCTTGGCATGGCCGCGTCGCAGGCCTTGGTCATCGTTGCCCTGATCCAGAGTGCTTGCTCCTCGACGTCTGCCGGGCCCTCTCCCGCCGGTCTACCTGTCCTCAGCTCAATGGAGATGGGGAGGTGGTCAGAGAGGATCTCCGATTCCTCCACCACCTTCCATGAGCTGATCATCCTCGCCGCCGCAGGGGAAGTCCACGTCAGATCGACGATTGACTCCCCCTGCGGCCTTACGCAGGTGCTAACCGCACCCACGTTTTCCAGGTGGAGGCCTAGGCGCGCCGCCCAGGCCACCACGTCTGCCCCCTTGGCGTCTGGCCGCCGGGAACCCCAAAGTGCCGACTTGGCATTGAAGTCCCCGGCGACCAGGACTGGTCCGGGGAGGTGCTCCTGGACCACATCCTCTAGGTCCTGGAGGCGTACCTCCAGGTCCGCCCTAGAGAGGCTGGGTCGGATGTAGACCCCCAGTATGACCAGGGGCCCCCACTTAACCGCGACCCATCCTTCCCCTGCCCTTATCCTTGACATCGGGGGGGCGCGCTCTCCAGTCCTCTTCCAAACGATCGCAGCCGATCCATCCGCGCTCCCCGCCCAGCAGGGGTTCCTGGGGACGCGGTACGGCTCGGCCACGATACCTAACCCACAACCACGCTCTGCCATGCTGTGTAGGAAGTGATCCTGGGCCTGGCAGGCGTGGTTGAGGTTTGCCTGCAGTACCCTTAGCAGGGTGAAGGCGAGGCCGTGGTGGCCTCCTCCTGGCCCTCTCCACCTCTGGTTGCCGCTGTTGTTGGTGCGGCTTCTTGTACCACCGTTAAGGGCTCAGTCTCCATCGCCTCTGCGACAGCAACCCCCCCCCTGGCCTCTTGGTTTCTCCCCTCGGCTGCCTTCTTCTCCCCCATGCGTCTGGCTGTCTTCATCTCCTTCTTTGACGCCGGGGGGCATGCCGCTCCTCCCGCCTTATGCTTCGCGGGGAGTCCCCTCGCGCTGCAGACCGGGCAGCAGAGCTCCCGGGTGCACGTCTGCGCCCTGTGTCCCTCTTTGCCGCACCGGTAGCACAAAGTGCTTCGGTCCACCGGGTTGCGGCACTGCCCCCGCACATGTCCCCTTTCCAGGCAGCGGAAGCACACCAGGGGACGGGCGTCGAGCAACTCCACTCTTAGAGTCACCCACCCGACCCTGATGCGCCTCTGCGCTGCCACCCTGGTCGCCGCCGCAATTGGGCACTGAGCCCAGACGGTCGCCAGGCCGTTGGGAGCCATCTTTGGCTGGCCTAGCTTGACGTTCCCCGGGTCGCATTCTCCTACCCGGGCTACGGCCGACGAGATCTCCTCTGGCGTGAGGGATTCGTCAACATCTTTGATGCGTATCTCCGCCAATTTGGTCGGTCGGGAGACACGCACTCCCTCCTTGCCTTCCAGCGCCCCGCTGATCTCTTTCGCGAGGGCGTCGGCCTTCTTGGCACTCTCTGCCCCCGTCACTTCAAATATTAGTGCCCCTGTTAGGGCCCTCCTCTGTCTCAGCGGGCCAATGCCGAGGGCCTCAAGGTCCACTTTGGCCCTGACCTCTCTCATTCCCTGCGCAGCTTCGCCTGCAGGGAACGAGACGGTGACCGCCTCCGATCTCGGCGGTTTCCTCCTCTTTTTGGCCGCTGTATCCTGTGTCTTAGGCCCTTGGGCCGTACTTGCCCCCTTCGCCCCCCTGCCCGTCTGCTGGGGTCGCGGCTCCGGCTTGCCTCCTCCTCCTATTGGGGTTGGCTGGACTGGTTTGCCACCCTTAGCCGGCTTACTGCCCGGTGTTTTGGCCTTCGCAGCTTCAGCGTATGTGCCTGCCTTGGCTTTGCGGGCGGTCGGCGCCTCCTCCGGTTTTGCGGGCCTCGTCCCTGGCTTTCTTTTTCCTCCCCTCTTCACCACCTCCACCCACTCGGTGGTCGATGGTGCGGGGGCCCTTTCCGCCTTCGTGTTCCGGACGATCTGTGCTGCCGTCTCTTTCGCCTTGGTCCTTACTCTGTCTTTCACCACCTCCATTTTGGTGATGACCGGTGTACCCTTCGTGCTGTGTCCCGCCTCTTGTCCTCGTGGGATTCGGGCTAGGGCTCCTTGGCATCTGGCAATGGTGCTCTCCAGCTTATGCCTCACCTCCTGTGGGTTCCCCTTGACTACGTCTGTCAAGGAGACCCCCTCCAGCACCCTCCGTACCCCCTCCATGGCCTCTTCGGGTGGTGCCTCCTCTATCTTCTTCTTCGCCCCTTTTATGCTTGGGCGGTACACCGGGGCTTCCTCCGCTTGGGTCGGCTCCGGTTTCTCCAAGTTTGCGGCCTTTCGCCTGGCTAGGGCCTTAGTCCGCGTCAGTCTCCCGGTCTCCTCTGACCTTGCCGGGCTCTGAGTTCGGGCTTGTGGGAGGTCCTCTACTGGCAGCTCCATCGCTGTCCTTTCGAGTGCCCTCACGTTCTCCACCCTTGCCCTTGTTTCTCTCTCCTCCTGGAGAAGAGTCGCCATCCTCTCCAACTGCTCCTCGAAGCTTCTCACCCTCTCCCTCAGCCTCTCGTTCTCGCTGTTCGACTGACCACCGTTGGAGCCCGCCGTCTTCTTGGCAACCACGGTGGCCGCCGCCCGGAGATTCTTGGAGCAGATCTTCAGCTCCTTTACATACGTGCCCTTTAAATTCTTGGATGTTTCGGCCACTTTAACGACGACGTTGACGTTTCGTAACATCTCCGCCGCAATCTGCGCGCCGCTGAGACCCTCCAGCTGCGCCACCGTATCCCTTTCCTGGGTCATGTCCCGAGGGAGGATCTTGGGGTTCAAGACCTCCGCCAATGCCTTCTGCTCGGCCTTCAGCTTCTTTATCTGACGCCGGCATTCCTCCCTCTTCCTCTTGCCGATGCCCGCGTAGGTCGTGGGCGGCCTCCCTGGCTTCTTCCTTTTCCCAGTGTACGCGTCCACTGACGATACTGAGGAAGAATCGTCCTCCGTGGATGAGTCATCGTTATCCACGTTTACTATCGCCTCTGTGTCGGATCCGTCCGACAGAGGCAGGGGGTCCTTCCTCGCCTTCGAGCACGCTGGCCCGGGCTTCGTGCCGCGTGCTACTACAGCCGATGTGCCGGCTCCGTCTTGGCGGGGCACCCTTTGGGACTTTTCCTTCCTGCCTCCTGTCCCTTGGATGCCGCCCGTCGTTTTGTCTGTGTGCTCCTCTCGTTGTGTGTGTTTGAAACTTGCCATAACTACAGTTGATTTATTAACCGGTTCGCCCATCATGGGACCCCCACCGCGGTGGGGGTACTGTCCCCGGTGATAATAATCCCTAATTAAGGACCGGGCAGAGGAGATGCCTTTTTCGGGGGAGCCACCCCCTATCCCGGTCAGTGACGCTATAGAAAAAGGTTCCTGGAGACGGCCAGGTCCACCATTATGCTACAGTTTTTACTTCACCCCCGGAGAGCGGCGCGCACCGATCCGATCGGCCGCATACCCCTCCCCAGGGCTAGAAGTCGTCAGGGATTATCCCCCTCACAGGGTATGAGAGGACGCTGGCTATGCGCCTCTCCACACTCGCGCCCGGACTGCCGGCTTCAACGCCCTGATTGGCTCCAGACGGACGAGACGGGAGCGGTTTTCCCACATTAAACATGCCACTTCCTGCGGACTTTGCCAGTAAACTGGTCTTACGGTCCCGCGTAGTCCATGGCAGAGGTCAGGTACAGACGTCACCGCTCGTCCCCGGTCGGGGGGTTTACTACTCCCCCCTTGGTTAGTCTCAGGGAAATATCCACCGGCAGCCGACCGCGGCTCACTCACACACCAAGCACACGACCGGCCCTCCGCCCTCCACGACCGGCCCCGTACGCCAGACCGCACGTCCCAGCAGCGGGACGTCGGCCCCAGACGCAGGAACCAGCCGCTTCGTCGCGGAGGACCGGGTGTTGGCCGGCAGGCTTGCCGACCAACCCCTCAGACCCCGAGGCCCTGCCTGGGAATACGTCCCAGCGGCCCCCAGGGTCTTCCGGGAGACCGGACCCTGCCTCGGAAACGTCCGAGCGGCCCCGATCCCCCGTCCTTGCCGGGCCAATCGGGCGACGCGGGTCTAGGACCCGACGTGTACCCGGGGCCCCGCCCCCTCCCGGAAGGGCCGGATTGCATCCGACCCAGCCGCGAGGGGACTCTCCCCTCTTCCCTCCTGCTCCCACTCCCTCGCCCCCCCCTATGCCAGGCCGCACGCCCCAGCAGCGGGACGTCGGCCCCAGACACAGGGGTTGACGAGTTCACGGAAACAGGAGGGCGCTGGGCGACAGATTGCCGCCCAGCTTCCAACTGCCATCCCACTCCGCGGATCCTGGAGGCCAGTTTACCGTGGAGGTCCGGCCCCTCCCCCCGGAAGACACGGACCACGTCCGAGTCAACCGCGGGGAGGCCACGACTTCCGGCCCACCCTTCGG